TCGATGGAATAAGGAAGCAAGATGGGTTTTCGCTGAGGAATTTGTCCGACACCTTGATCAATACAAATCCATGTTTGACCTTCCGGACTACGCTGGAAACCTCAATAGCGTGTACAACCAGTTCACCAGCCTCCTTGGAAGTATCCGAGATGAAGCAAATGAGGAGTCAGAAGAGGAAGGCCTTGATGATGCTGTCACAAGTATCCGTGAGAAGAATACGAGGAACCGGCTTCGTAGGGTATGTTATATCACGAGAAGAGGATACAACAAACTGACAATTGCCTAGAAACTAGGGCGTAGGCTGCGTGTGTGTCATGATGTCAAAGACTTGCGGGGTTATTATCAACTTGTCAATGAGATTGGTGGGGATGGGATGTCCGATGAGGAGACGGATCCTGAAGATATGAAGGTGCTTCCCAGAAAGCGATGTGGCGTCATTGTCCGAGAACCCCGCTATCGATCCGCGAAATACCGGGCGTTTATGCGTCTGCTGGATTCAATACAAAAAGTACAAGATGAATCCACTTTGATCAAACCCATTAAGACCACAGGCGCTTCAACCCGCACCAAGGACTGTAACCAACATGCTCGTCGTATCACTCCGACAGGCTTACCAAAGCTGCTCTACTCGGATGAATTCATCAAGGAGGTTGAGGAATCCACAGGCTTTGACCTAAAGTATACAGACAGATGGAGCAAACTCGAATTTCCCCCCAAGCTACCCCACGCACTCCTAAAAAACTTGAAGATAACCGAGGATGAGCTTAAAAGAATGTTTGATTGCTAAGTTGGGTCTTTTAGAACTTATTGGGTCCTGTAGCTATGCGACAATATAGGCTGTATTGATTCTCTACAACGGGTTCCCTGTCTAAGATCTATCATTTAATGAGTCAAGCCATGATGAATCCACCCAATCACTTGGTACATGAACAGGAGGAATACGGCTCTCACGCTCTTGGTCTCTCATCATTGCCATATGGGTAGGTCCATTGAAGTAGAGGTTGCGCTGTCGGAGTCGTGAAAGGAATGACTCAAATTTTCTGCTTCGCCATGAGAGTGGCTTCCTGTACATAATTAATCCTTCACTTTCACTCTCGTCGTCACTGCAGAGATCAGCTCCCCCTATGCTGAGGTTTGTGAGTAAAGTCTTTGCATCTGCAAACTCTGCAACGTAGCAAAGTGAGAGCCATTTCTGGGTCATGGTCAGTAAGAAATCAATAGCAAAGTAGGCTCTTACCGCAATGCGCCTTGCATTCGAACGTTCCTGCCGATAGTGTCTACAATCCTCCTCACTAGGAGATTCCGCACACGCAGCAGTTTGAAACCCAATTTGGACCTCCACCACACTCTGGAATATCTGCTGTACAGAATCTCGGTTGTAGTGACTTCCCATCAAGGAAACATTGTAGAAGCCAGCTTTCGTCGCTTTTTGAAAATCCTTCCAAAAGATGGAGCCAGCATGAAGATTATGATCATTACCAGTTGGCATGGCAAGAGTAAACTGGTCAGCCGAACAAGGTGCTGTTGGTTTGGGTTCAATTTCCCAGCAACCTGTCTTGAAGTAACTTAGGCCTCGTAACCCCAGACAGTGGATGTATATAGCATTCTAAGAATTAGTTCAGTATTCGATGCAACATCATTGAACAGATAATTTACAATCGTGTAGTACTCCATAGGATCACCCTTGCGCACATATGTATCCCCAGCTTCACTGAGCTTCCTCTTCAATGGTATCAGTATGTCATTAAGAATAAATATCGTCTTATTTCGTACTGGGATGATGGCATAAAATCCCTTGATGGATTCTCTTCGAGCCATTCTCTGCAATTCTGGTTATATATGCACCAACAATTGAGGAATCCACAACGCACTTCTTGAGGAGATTCATTCCATTGCTTCTTGAGCTGCTTTCTGGAGAATGTAATCTAGATATCCCTGTGAATTATAGAATACCATCCATCTGATAGGTAACATCGCACCTGTGGCTGAATTGATTCCTCAAATTCCTTTGAATTGTAGATGAGAGTTTGCATTGACATCAAATGATCACTTACTTCAATGTGCACACTCTCGTCAATGACCTCAAAGCCTGCATCTGGGCCCTCAAAAATTGACGGCCAGCTTATCTCTATTGGTTCATGATAGTACGTGCTCATTCCTTCTTCATTAAAGTCGTTTGGCTCTTCATGGTAGTTATTTGGTTGAGATACATTGGGTAGTTGTTTATCCTTGTTGCTGGCACTAGGAGATTTGGAGGCTGCAGTTGCATAGGAACGTGAAGATGCTCGTGAATGTACACGTTGAGTATTGGTGATGTCTTCAGCTGAACTGATATGTCCATCATCATTTGTCTGACCATGTGATGGATAAAAGAGGGGTGTGGGTGGACGTAGATCATGATGATCAACCAAGGGCAGACCTGTATGAGCATGCTGATCCGAGAACAGCTCCGCACCTTCTAAGTTGTGAGTAGCACCATTTCCAACATCTTGATCAGTGAACTCCAGCATCAAGAGTGGGGCCTCGTGTGTTGGTGATAAGGCTGATTGACTGGTTACACTTGGGCTCCGCATGTGGAATGCTCCTAACTCCCGAGATAAAGATGAAATACTTGATTGAAGGGAACCTTCAGGAGGAGGTATATATATGGGGGAAGCTGTTCGTGTTGGGCTTGGGTTTGAGCTTGGATGGACAAGTGGAGATAATTGCGGGTCATCTGAGGCTTGTTCATTTGTAACGTCAGTTGAAGGTTGTGCTGTTATGCCACCATTGGCATTTCTCTGAACAGACTCGTGTCTCTGGTTTATTGAACTATATTAACTTCTCGATGTCTTCGATCAATGAGATACAAACAAACCTTTGTAGCAGGTAGACTAGTTTCTGTACAGTCTTCATCATACTCTTTGCGTGATCGCCGGCAGGGTATTGAAGGCAATGGGAGAGGTGGATTGTTCTGGCATTCTGATTGGACCACCGGTGGTCCATTATCTTGAGTTTCTGCTGGCAGTTGTACCTACTGGAATGAGTATAAACCATCCAAACAAGGAGCTGCGGACAAACATTTTGTGAAGTCCAGTATGAAAATTCAAAGCCAATGCTTTGTAGCTGGCTCTGTGGCGAGCTTAGTAGGTTGTCACCCACCTCAGTAGGGGTTACAGTGGTGGCTGGAGCTCGTTGCAATTGTCTGCGACCTTGGTTATGTGTCTAAGAGGTGGGTCATGAGTAGCACACCTGTCAATAGCTTGATGGCTGACCTTTTGAGGAGGCATCGAACTGACAGGCGTCACAGATCTTGAATGGGAAATTGATGTACAGGATAGTGGTGGGTTTTTTCTTTGTTGAGAACCTGAAGTGGCCTTTGAGGCCTTCTGAGCAACGGATTTCTTGTTTGCTCCTGGTGGCTTCTTCTTCTGCTTGTCAACAGGTAGATCCGACACATTAGAACTTGAGACTTCAGAAATTGGAGGTAAAGATTGGTTTTTCTTGGTGTTTCTGGTGGATCTAATAGAAGCGGAGATAGAATTTTAGCCTATAGATCATGCGCAATGCAGGTTGTTGGTTTTGTGGACACCTACCGCCTTATATTGGACTTCGTAATATTGATGTCTTCCTCTTGTGACATATTGGTATGAATGAAGTGCTTCCTATCAAATCTTTTGTTGGGATTGGGAGGTCCACTTGACCCACCAAAGACGTCAGGTCCAATGTCTGATACACACTCTTGGACCTTGACCACAACTTTGACTTTCTCGAACCATCATACCTCCACTTCCAACAAAGCAGATTTCAACCTTGGCATCACTGTAGCACTTGTCACAGTATTGCACGACAACTCTTGCAGCTCGCACTTGTATTTGGTGCCTTTGATAAGATCATCATTGGCAACAGATCTCTGACATGAACATCGTACGCAAGCTGCTGTTCTAGATCGATTTATGGTGATGATTGATGTTCTTTCTACCATGTGTCAAATTTTCAGGTGTTCGCGCAACAGTTAGGTCAAAATGGAGCAAGCTGTGAGTATTCATTGTATTTAGATGCGAATATTTATACTAAAAACAACAAAATTAGCTATACTATAAATAGGAATTATAGTGATACATTAATATTACCAAGGCTGTCCATTGCC